CATGGACCACACTAAGCGAATAACATTTGCTGATACTGAACTGAGCTTTACGAACTAGGCCCGACAGTTGGAAAAAAACCTACGTTACCTAGGCATAGAAAACTAATCGATAAGGGTTTTAATGGACCTTCCCTCGAAGAGGTCGGAGTACCCTTGATCTAAAAAATCATATAAATTTTAATTAATTTATTTTTGAATGGGAGGACCAATAAGCATATGGGCCCACTATTACAATGTGGGTGGGATCAAGTTTTTGTGAGATCAAGTTTTGGCTTGAAGATAAAGTTATGTGATGTTTTAGAAAAAGCCTTTGCCTTGAGGAAGCTTTGAATGGATTTTTGGAAAGCATGAGAAGACTTCTACATAATTTTGGTAAGCACAATATTATGATTGAAATTAATTTATTTAATTTCTATTGATAGAAAAATGATTTAGGAAGAATGGAGAGCTCAAATCTCTCACCCCACAAGTCACCCAAAATCAATGGTGCATATTCAATCTCACAAGAAGAGGCAAGCCATGGAAAACCCTAAAAAACCCTAATCCTATTTTTGCACTATAAATAGAGGACCCCATGCCTATAAATCTCTATACCTAAATCTATCATCTCTCTCTAAATATTTCTCTCTTGTTGGTAAATTTAGGGGGCTTGCCCCAACCTAGAAGGTCTCTCTCTCTCTCTCTAGTTTTTGGTAAGGGGCACGCCCACTTAGATCATCTCTCTTTCTCTCTAAAGCTATCTTAGGGGGCACACCCCAACCTGAGTTGGTATTTATCTCTCTCTCTCTCTCTCTCTCTCTCTCATATTGTGTTATGTTGATCCTATGGGTTGGGTAGAAGCAAGTAGATGCTATATCTCTTAAATTAGGTTTTATGGGTTGTACCTAAGTTTAAGATTTGTGATAAAGAGGAGTTCAAAGTTCCATTGGAGGGTTTGACCTAAACTTACTTTCTCCTTTAGTAGTTGATCATTTATCTCGCGCCATCAGATGGTGATGAACCAGTGTGGGGTGTAATAAGCCCGATTGAGGTAATCTTCGGCACTCTCTTTTTGTTTCTTATCATATTTAATTATATTGTCTTTATATTCTCAAGCATAAGAATTGTAGTTATTTTCTTTGTTTAAAGAAAATTGGTTTAGTGGCTTTAAGATTTTTAAGATCTTAGATTTGCTAGTTTTATTTTCTTTGAAGCAAAAGTTTATTGTAATAAGACTACTTATAAGTGAGCTTTGCCAAAAGAAAAAAAGAAAGAAAAAAATGGGTGAAAAAAAAGAAGAAAAGAAAAATAAATCTCCCAATAAGATCACATTAGTCTTTCTTTCATAGCCACCCAGAATATCCACATTAACACAGAGTTCCTCAGTTGCCTCTTGAACTTCCGGTCAATGGCACATGCAATACCTTGAATTACAGTTTGGGAATACATGTTCATGTACCCTTCCTGGGAGTCCAATATAATTATCAATGAGGCATGTATGTTGTTGATAGGACAACTCCTCTAAATTGCTCAAAAACCATATCCAAGTTTCTAGGCCTTTTTCTCCACCATGGCACTCACAAATTAGGAAAATGATAACATTAGCGTCTACACCAACAGTGCACAACAAGATAGCCATGTTTGTTTCTTCAAAGCGTCCCCATCTAAGCCTATGAGAGGTCCACACCGATACAAAGATCCTAGAGTAAGGATGGAAGTAGGGAAATAGATGTTGGCATATGTAGAAAGAATCTGTTTGTATGTAGCTTACACTTCGGGGATTGGTGAGTTGTAGCTTCTCAAAGTATAAGGTACTCCTTATGTAGCCTCTGCATCACTTTTGCTGCAACTTTTTTGCCGCAACTTTTTTGCCTGCCACACTTGCATATATGATATGTTAGGATATAGATATTTTGGGTTCATATTGATATATATAATTATGAATGTATATGTATATATCTCTTGATAAGGTTAGGTATCTAGAAGATAGAGACCAAGTTACTTGGTCATCAAGTTATCATACCATATTTATCTCATGGAATTGTGTGATGTCCTCTATATATAGAGGTACTTATTGATGTAAACATTCATCCAAAATAATGAAGATGTCGCTAGTTAGGCTTTGGATTAGTGGACGTAAGGCTTCGGCTTGAACCACGTAAATGTTGTATTCTTTCTTCTTCTCTCTCTATTCTATGCTCTCACAAATTCTAACATGGTATCAGAGCCATAGACTCCTCGGCTCAAATATTGGGAAATTTCAAGACTATCTGCAACAACCGATCCTTGTTGATGTGTTGGTAGCATGACCTTTATTCTCCCATGGTGTCCAAGGATCGAGTTGGTAAAAAGAGGGAGAGAGACGTGTTGGTGATTCCAGGGTCGTGAACGATGGTGATGTGAAGCGATGGCGATGTGCAGGATGACGATGTGAAGCTAGTGCTGAATATTATCCATGGTCTCAAATTTCAACTGCAACCCTTGACCTCCAAATCATTAGCATGGATTAATTTGCTATAGTGGAAGATTTGGGTTTTCTTATTAAAGATAACTTACCTTGTAAGCATCTCATTCTTTCAATGAAAGAAGTCCTAGTCAAATTCCTTCAACGTAATACATGCTTCGAGGCTGTCTTGGAGCTTGTACCGATGAATCCTTACCACTGCATGCTTCTGCATCATCTTGCAGAGATTTTTGTGTTAGCACTTGAATCTGTTGGTGAAGGAGATGATCGCCATTTAAATCTGGATTTAAATGATATTTTTTTTAAGATGTGGGCTTTTGTCTAGAAGCCCAATTTCATTGGCATTTTTTTTTGATATGGTTGTACTTAAAAGGAAAGAAGTTGTATTTTGCAAGTTGGGTTTTTCTTCGCATCCACACCCAACTTGAGGGGGAGAGTATAGGAGATATGAAGATGAGATGTATAGGAGATATGGAGATGAGATGAGTAGAGATGAAGTCAACATCTTTAATGTAACCGCTATGTGGACAAGAAAATCTAGATCCTGGATCAGTCCAATTACTATGCAAAGGGAAGTTATGGTTAGTGATCAAGAGTTCTATCTACAGATGAGGAGATGAAGATGATCGAATTTCACAGTCCTGGTTGTTGATCAAGAGTTCCGTCTCCAGATGAGGAGATGAAGATGATCGAATTTCACGATCTTGATTGATGATCAAGTTTTCTATTTCTTGATCTTGTTTGATGATAGAGTTTTTCGTTGCTCCATCTTGTGTGATAATCGTCGAGTTTTTCGTTACTCGATCTCGGATGTTCCGAAGAGAGAAAGAAAAATCATTTTCTTTTAGAGAGAGAAAGCCTCTAGAAATAAAAGAAGCCTCTAAAGAGAGAAATCTTCAAAGGGAGAGAAAGAAAAATATTTTTTTTTTAGAGAGAGAAAGTCTCTAGAAAGAAGAGAAGCCTCTGAAGAGAGAGATCTTCAGAGAAGAAAGTAGAGAGCCCAAAAAAGGTTGTTTCTTGGAAGACCTTAGAGAGAGAGTCTCTAGAAGGAAGTAGAGAGCCTAAGAAAGTTTATTTCTTGGAAGACTATGGTAACATGTGTATTTTTTTTTTTTTTTATGAGGTTAGGTATCTAGAAGATAGAGACCAAGTTACTTGGTCAAGTTATCATACCATATTTATCTCATGTAATTGTGTGATTGTCCTCTATATATAAATGTACTTATTGATGTAAACATTCATCCAAAATAATGAAGATGTTGCTAGTTAGGCTTTGGATCCGTAGACGTAAGGCTTCGGCCTGAACCACGTAAATGTTGTGTTCTCTCTTCTTCTCTCTCCATTCTATGCTCCCACAAATTCTAACATGATAAAGAGATATCATGCTCACGTTGAAACAAATGAACACTACCCAATTTCTAAGTGATTAGCATAGGTAAATTCTATATGGAAATTAGGATTTTCATTTGGATAAACATACCCTAAATATAAAGGAAAAAAAATCATAAAATAATGTCCCATATTCATATACAAAACCAACACCACAAAACCCACATCTCTATTTAGAATTATAGGAGCCACAGATAAGTAGAAAAAATCGGAATTAAATCCCAAAATAGGTTACCCATTTCCATGAAAACCATAAAATCGAAATAACCACAACAATGTCCATAACAGACATCAAAACAAAACCCATGGAGATCACACAACCAAATTCACATAAGTAATAATAGAAATCCTGAATCTCATGTTCAAGCATTAGAAATCAAAGTACACCACAGAGTGAATCACCTTTTCAATTGGATAGAAGATCTCAGAATAGAAAGGAAATCATCAAAACATAATAGCTCAGAATCACATAGAGAAAACACCACAAAACCCACCTCTACAATCAAGTAAGCCACATAGAAAATGAAAACAACTAGAAATAAAAAGACCTACCTGATCCTGAGAGCTTGCATAGAGTGAGACGGAGAGAGGGCTTGGGGGATGAGAATTCGGGGGTAGGGGAAGAAACAGAAGGGGGGGGGGGGAAGAGAGGACTGAGTGAGAGGTTAGGGTGCTTTGATATGGGGATTTTATGTTGCATATCGATTGCACCATCGGCGGTGAAAAAAAAGTTGCAAAACACCTATATGATGTCCCAAATATTGGAGTGCATTGTTTAGAAAAGCGTTCCGATGTTGAGAAAAGCGGACAGTATGAAAATGCAAATAAATAGTAAAGAGGTCGGTCCGATATTTCCAACATCGTACCGACTCAAAATAACAGATACAACGATGTCCATTGTGTCACACATCGAAATGGCCTACTTCATGGCTATTCGATGTCTGACATATTGGATCACCCCCATATAATCGCCCCCACTGAATCAATTGCTCTACAACTTTATTAAATTAAAAAAAGTAAAATTCAAAATCGATCAGAATATCAGATCATGTTTCGAATATCAGACTGAGGAGCAAAATTACAAAAAATATTTTAAAAAATCATTGTGGGGCTTAGAATCTAGACGTCAACGTAAAACAACCAATACCGTATTTTACTTGGGATATGGACGTCATTTTAATTTCTAGGGCACGGTGTTACATTTGGAATTCATGTCCTGCTCTACCGAGGATATGCCTCCCGCTTAAAAGCATAGGGACTATCGACTAGTATGATATCCCGCTTAAAAGCATAGGGACATACGCAAATGTAGAAATCACAACAACAATCGCAACAAATTTTAATCATCCTTAAAAAACACAGACGACGGACCTCATAGAGACCTCTCAAATGATGCTAGAGACATATTGGGCCTCTTGCTGTATTCCTTTCAATATACATCCATGCATGAACACCTTAAACGTGGCTCATCTACTCCAAACGCTGGGTCCGGGTTGGCTCAGCGAAGACCGGTTGGCCTGCTCGGTCCACCGGACTGCCTTGTTCCATGAAAGAAGAGAGCGCAGCAGCCAATGCAACCCTAAACTTGGGGTCCGAAGCCACTGCACTCACATTGTCCACTAAGCACTGGTCCATTGAACCCTGATAATGAACCGAGCTGAGATATGGGCTCGAGCCCATGTCAAAGTGGGGAGGCTGAGGCCTCGTTAGGTCAAGGACGATGCCTTCGGAAGATGAAGGAGGGATGGCGCCACGGTTAGAGTTAGGGTTTTGAGAGAGGAAGTTGTTTTGTGGTGGGTAGGGTTGAGCTTGGCTATTGAGGAGCATGAAAGTGGCGGCAGCGGCTGTGGTGGAGGCCATGGCAGTGGCGCCGACTGGTAGAGGGTGGTTGTGGGTGCCTTCATAGGTTGTTATGAGGATGGACATGTCTTCTAAGCATCTTTGTACCTGTTAGAGATATATGGAAATAATTATCAAAACGAAATAGGTAGATAAGGAAGAGACTGATGTGTGATTTGTAAGTTTTCTAGAGAGAGAGAGTGTGTGAGGTTCTTGTGAGAGAAGCTTTGCGGCGCCATGTTGCGGGCTTGACCTGGTAGGTGTTCTACTGTGAATGCGGGGCATGTTCCTTTGTTTCGACAGTTTGACAAAGCAATGAGTTAGAGAGAGAGAGAGCCTTGACAGTTTGACAAATCAATGAGTTAGAGAGAGAGAGAGAGAGTGTGTGTGTTCTCTCTGCAATCCCCAAAAGTAAACAAAGGTTCAGTTGCATGGATCGAGACATCGTTTTATTTACAAGCTTTCATTCACTGAATAATGAACAAATTATCCCCAAGTTGTAAGAAAATTTATTGTTCTCTCCCACGACGTTTTTTTTTTTTTTTTGTCCTTTCTCCCTCTCAGTGATCTTCCCTTTGAATACATGTTCCAATTCTCTAAAATACATTGTATCAATTCACAATTAAAGGTAGAAATACAGAAAAGGAAAATCAAGCATAAGAACTGCAATTGAAACATGTCTGTAATTCCAAAAAAAAAGAAAAACCACCCAAAAGTTTAGAGATTGAAACACGTCTTTAATTATGTGCAAAATATAGAATTTCAAGCCACAGCAAGGACAATAATGAATAATCACAGTAATAGATATTGCCTCTTTGTGAAGAAAAGGAAGTGGTTAGGGTTTTCGTACCTGTTTTCTCACTGGGCAGCCAGGTGCCACTGTGCAGCGATAGTAGGCTCTGGGGCATGGGTTCCCCTTGGCTATCTTCTGCCCATATTTCCTCCATTGACATCCATCATTCATCTGCAACCAATTTCATGAACATCTAAACATAACATCTCTCTCTCTCTCTCTCTCTCTCTCTCTCTCTCCTCCCTCCCTCCTCTCTCTCTCTCTCTCTCTCTCTCTCCTACTTACAGTGGGTGCCTGGCATCTTGCTCTAACTGAAACCCTGGATTTCCTAGGGGCCATTGGTGGTGCAACAAGCTCTGTAATCTCTCGCTGTTGAAGCTTATTAGGAAGAAGCCATCCATTCATCTGAAAATTCTCCTCAATCTCTTCGTCTTTGTCTCTCTCATTTTCTTCTCTCTTTTGCGTCTCTTTCTCAGAGCTTGGTATCCCGAGTGATAAGCTTAACTCTTCGCCACCTTTCAAATCTGATGACTCAATCGTGTTTATGTATTTGATTGAAGACTTCCGGTCGATTATCCCCCCAGGGCTAGTGTTTATAGGCAGCATTATCTGAAATAATTTGATTCCCGGTTTTCTTTATGATTTTCTTTCCACAATTGAAGAATGAAATTACAGTGAAGAAGCAAATCGAGATGAGAAATTGATAGTTTACTTGGGCCTTTTCTTCTTTAGGGGTCATATCTTCTCTTCTATTTTGTTGTATGCTTGCAAATTTCATCTGCAATTCTTGATAATCCTTGAAAGTTTGATCAACTGCCATTCTTAACACCCTGTTCTCCTCCTTCATGCGCACCATTTCGATCTGCAAAACAGATAGCTGAAAGAACCAGCCACTGGATTATCAATAAGAGGATCTCTTGATCATTTTCTCTCACTATATCCATATTGATATGTGGGTAGTGAGATAAAATGAACTATCAGGAAAACACTGAAATTGTTAGAAGTTCAAAGCCTCTAAGTTGATACCTGCTTTCTCTGTGAAATAGATTGCTTTTGATCTTCTTCTCCTCCATTTTCACTCTCGTCGAATTCTCCTCTCTCACCATCTTCTACTTCATGCCTTTCTTCTTCCTCCTCCTCCAATTTCAGAGAGAGATCGATTTCTCCAACCCTATCATCTCTATCGCTGAGAGAGGTGGAACTCCTGCCATTTCCCGGTCCTGCCATCTCAGAGATAGAGAGAGAGGAGAGAGAAACTAGAGAGAGAGACTAGATTTGGAGCAGCTAAAGTCAGATTATCCCATCTCTGTGCCGTATTAGAGAGAGGAGAAAGCATCACAGTTTGACTTTATTGTTGATAAAGAAAGAGAGAGAAGAAATAAAGAAAGGGTTGGATCTTTTGAATATTAGACCTATGCAAAATCCCGAAACCAGGCCTAGGGATCCTAGGGTTTTATGTCAACTGTGATCATAAAGCTTTAGGACGCCAGTTCATCTAAATCTAACTTTCAACATCGGTGTACCTGCTTCTTGGAACCACCAACAACAGTGGCAATAATAAATGGCCCTCTAATATGGTACATGTATCACACCAACAGAATGGTACATGCCATATCCACCTTCCTTACTCCATGGAAGATCAACTATTCTTCCACTTGAGGGGACAATGACATATATATGGAGAAGACTCATCTCCTACCATGGAATTGCAACATTTTATGAAAATTTGTGAGCCAAAGCAAGAAATCTGTGCAACTCAGTTCAGGGGCTTGCCACACGGACTCTCTCTCGATCTTTAATGATTAAAACAATCGCACCTCTAAACCCTGTCATAAGATGCAATTTCAGTGCCGAAATTTTTTTGTGATAGCCTAGATCGAATACATGCATAAATGTTTGATTATAGACCGGTCTAGATAATTTATATAAGACAACATCCTTCTTTGTTTTTTTTTTTTTTACGTCCGAACATATTGAGATCGAGAAGATCTAGTGGAAAATTTTCTAGCATGGAAACAAAACTTTGCAATGACTTTTTTGAGGTGTGTCTTACTTCTATAGTATGAGATTGATGCATAATATGAACTTTTTCCAATTCCTAATCCTTTGACTTAATCTACAAATAAGTAGGCTGAGTTTAGAGTCTAAGATTCCATTTTTTTCAATACGCAATCCAGTAGCAGATCTAGGAACCGCAGTAAATTTGCTTTTGTCTTTTCTGCATAACTGAACTAAAGATATGAAAAGTGTGCAAGACCATTTACCTATAACCCAATGTGGTCACAATTAATCTTGACCATTGGATGTGAAATTGAATAGTTGTATTTAATCCATTGACCGAGCTCAAACTTCAAAAGAAATTTTTTCAGATTTTGTCACACACCCAAGCTATCGTATTTCATATGAGATGGTTATAAGTAATTGTCACCTCCTTGTAAGTTAATTGGTCTCATTATATATAATCCTTAAATATAGGGAAAATTATAAGAACCCTCCATGACTCAACTTTCTTTACATGCTCCCCCAACCTACTTTTTTTTATCACAAATTTTACCCTAAAACTAACGTTTACAGCAAAGACCCCCAGTCAAAAAGTTAAAGGATGAAAATACTCTTGCCCGTATATAAAGCCATCACATTCTCGCAAACATTCACTCACCACAGACGATCCAGCACGTATTATTGCGGGACCAGAACCCATACCAAAAGTTATTAGACCGCCTTTTCAAAAGCAATATAATGAGTGTTCGGACTGTGGAACCCTTGTGCTGAACTGAGGGCCACTATTTCTAGACCGCTTGGTCAATGTGCCAGACTGCATTTACAGCATGTTGAACCGCTTGGTCTATGTGCTTGACCATTCGCTTTAAAAAGTGTCTTCCTGCCTCAGTGAGTTGCCAAACCGCCACAATTCAGTGCCAAACCACCACCATAAAGTGTTGGATTGTCTTTGGTGAGTGCGCGTTTGCGAGAATGTGACAGCTTCATGTACGGGCAAGGATATTTTCATCCTCAAAACTATGATTTTTGACTTGCCGGGTATTTGCTACAAAAGTTAATTTTGAGGTAAAATTTGCGATAAAAAAAGTGGGTATGGGGAGAATGTAAAGAAGGTTGAGTCTTTTTGTACCTTTTCTTTAAATATATTATTTTTATTTCATTAATAAATTTTCTTGTTCAATTAACCTGTGATTTTTTTTTTGGGTAATTCAATTGGGAAGACATGTCCCTATCCGTTGCTATAAAATTTCTTGTTCAATTAATTAGTAGTTCAATTAGGAATAGATATCACAATGTGGTAACTGGGTGAAGGGATACTACCACCACGACCCTAACCCAACCCCAACCCCAACCCCAACCCCTTTCCCGATTAACCTGTGATTTTTAAGTAAAATAGTACAAACTATAAATACTTATAAGTTGAGTAATCAACCTGACATGATTCAAAGCCATGCTAGAATGTGGTTGCCAAGGCCTAGGATTTCATATTTTAAGGCCCTAAGAAAGCGGAGGCTCGATCAACTAGGAAATGGTAATGATAGATACTATGGGATCATTTGGGCAATTAAAAATTATGTACCTTGTATTTAGACTTTGACCCAAGCTGTATATCATAATATTCACGTCTTCTTACGTGAGCCTACGCATCCCAAAGATTAAACAAACTGGCCCACTTCATTTATTTAATCTATACTTGTCGGGCCCTTGATAGACGAATCGGGCTTGTCCTGTTCTTATTGCCGGATAAGAAGATTTTTTTGGATGAGGCTTCTATAAAACTTAGGCTTTACGAACACAAAATAGTGCCTCACCTCAAATTCTTGGTTGGAATGCACTTTCGACAACGAAAGTCTCTACGATGGCTCTAAAATCAATTTCTAGAACCGAAAATGAAACTTGAAACTCAAAAAATATTACAGCTTTTGTGGATTTATGAATCATAGGGCGAAATGGACGACCAAGATAATTTGTTACAATACATTATTTTTAGAGCTTGAAATCCTATTTTTTTTTCACAACGATAATGTTCAAGCCAAGATGATTGATTTAAAGGTTTTCTAACGCTTGAGTTACAAATTTTGATGAGTTATGAGGTGAGGCCTTACTTGATAGGGCTGGAGCCGTATCAAACTATTTTCCTGTTGTTTTTACTTTTGGGTTGGGGCCTGTATAAGGTTGGGGCCTTGAACAAAGGCAAACTTTCAAATGATGCCAAAAGATGTTGTTTTAGAGTCGGAAATTATTGTGATGTCTAAACATTAATTTTCATTATTAATTGCAAAGTTTAAAGCTTAAAAAATAGTGTAAATCGAACATATCTGCAAACACTGAAAATCTTGAAAATGGATGGTTCAAGTATTACATTAAAAGATGCACTATTTTGTAGAATAGAAATCATTTTTTCTTTTCGCATCCATATATCTCAAAATTGAGACTATTTGTTGAAGGATTTTATAATTCTCTTTTTATTTTATTTCTTAATACCAGTTTTATTGTTCATCATTATTAATTCTTATAAGTTTTCTTGAGTATTTTCATACGTAACTGACTTTGAATATATGACCTATCGTTGAAATTTTGGGTTATATTTTAAAATTCTCTCTTTTAATTTACAAAAATGATAAAAAGTCGCCGAAAGAAATGGTTTTTAAGATGAGGAAGCCATATGTGAGCAGGCGGCGCCGCAGCCACTTCTATCGTTGTAACCATTAGAAACTTGTTTAAATAAATAAATTAAAGACCGAACTCCCCCTCCTATTCTTATTGTACTTCGTATTCATGTGTGCATAGCGACGAAATACCTACTAAATATAAGGAAAAAGACACCACATGTCAACCCCTTGTCCCCATTTAATTCCATTACCCCTGGCTGAGAAACTCGAACACTTCTTTTATTTTATAATTTCCCTAAAATTTGTAACTTAGAGGTGAAAGTAGAATCTTAGGTCATCCTAAAAAAAATTTACTTTAAAATGGATTGACCTCAAAATTTGATTGTGTATGGACCAGTGAATCGCAACTAGAAATACTAAATAAATAATTCAAAATAATAAGGATGACCAAAAGACCTCTATAAATATTTAACTAGAGTTGTTCTTATTATAAATTGAAAAAGTATAGGGAAAATATCTTTATATCCTATATTTTTAGGTTTTATTTCTTGATAAATTCAAGGTTTCAAAAGATATCTTCTAACCCCCTGACATCTTTATACTTATTTTTTAACCTAAACAAATGTAAGAAAGACATGCTCTTTCTAAACTCAGTGGTTACTCTCTCTTCATTTATATGCCCAAACTTCTCTCTTTCTCTCTCTTCTTATGTCTCTCACTCTCTCTCTCTCCTCCCGTGTTTCTCCAAATGCCTTTCTCTTCCTACCGATAACTTCTCATTTCCATGAAGCCCTTCTCTCTCTAGAAGTTTGAGACAATGGCTTTTAAAAAATTCATGTCTTTTTAGATTTGTTTGGCCTAAAAAGAGGTTTAAATTAACTCAGTGGGTAGAAGAAATAAAATCTACAATTTTTATGCTCCAAAATATCTTTTAAAATCTTGGATCTATCGTGAAATGAAATCTAAAAATCGGGGGTCAGGAGATATTTTCCTAAAAGTATAAAAGGATAGCATTTACTTTTGGTACAAGGAGGTCACAAGCTCGACATAAGAGTGACAGATTCAAAGTTCAAAAGAAAGTTCTAGAACTTTGTAATACATCCCAAGCCGTTCAATTTGATTAAATTTTGTAGCTATTTTTACATTATTTTTGGTTGGATGATGTTTCTCATCTTATAGGATTCTGATTTGTAAAAAAAATAGAAGTTCAAATACAATTGGATGACCGTGGCCATCCACTGGGCTTTTGACAGTAATGGACAGACGAAATTATTGTAGAATTACGCGAATAGGTGTTTTCGAGAGAGAGAGATTATAATACTTTGCAACTCTGACCTGTAAAAGGCATTCACACCTATCTCAATGCAAAAAATAAAACAAAACTTTAAGGGAAAACTATATCATCATTGAAATTTTTGGTGTAAGGAATTGCCATCGGCAGATTTGAAAATGGGTGGCTAAGGGTGTGCAGTTCACTAGTATGCTCACAGTTCCATCAATTTTTTTTTCAAATTTTGTGACACATCTCAAATTATTGGGTTTCACATTTGATGACTCGACATTATTTTGGCCTTCTCGTACCAATATTAAATAGCTTTATAGGATATGTTCAATTATCATATACCTCCCTCCTAACAATCGACGTATTAAAATAAGGGATTGTATGTATGTGACCATTTATC